AGAAATGAATTCAAATTTAAGTATTAAACTGTAGATAAAATCATGCTTTAGAGCGAAAGCCTGCATGTCTAAAGATGAATGAGGGGAAATTAGAATGAATATGTTTTGTAGGGTTCTCCACCTACACTTGAATTTTAAGAATGTTAAACATAGCTCATCGAGTTTTAGTATGTTGATTAAGGTGTGTCTATTTGGTCGTTGAATTCTAACAAATTCATTGTGGTTAGGGGAAGTGTTGTAATACTAAAACACGAATATTCCCTGTTTGACACCACACGTGGTGGAGACCAATTAAGGAAAATAAAACGATCAAAAACAAAAACTTTATCCAGTGTTAAGAAAGTTTAAATTATAATGTATTTAGAAGATACTGATACTTATTCCTTCCAGATCCTGGAAGGAAGAGAACAGATTGATTGCTGAAGTCCAGGAAAGGTTGCTGTAAGAAGAGATAGTAAAATGATGTATTCTACAGAAATTTATTCTAATTTTGTGAGAAAACAGATTGTTTTATGTAAACGAGGCTCTTGAATTTTAGTTCAGAATGTGGAAACTTTTCAACAGGTCGTTTCTAGCACCTGCTTCCAAGTTTACAAATTCTGGCAGCGGCAAATGTAGAGTTTATATTTATTTTAACAAACATTTATTTTAAGTTTAAGCTATCTTTCCTGTCAAGCCTTACTTTCCCCTGGAATTGCCAATGCCAGAGTATGTAAATTTTAGTAGAACGCTCAAAGTATTAAAATTTTCAGTGGAAGTATTTTTGAGTTAAATAGAAGGGAAAACGAGTTTCGAAAGGTGTGCTTTCTTGATTCACGAGCGTGAGGTTGCTAGGTAGAAATTTAAGAACCGCGGCGGTCAGGCCTGTGTGCTTGCCTTTGGCAGTTAGTTGAATCTTTCAACTTTTTTATATTCAGAAAGTTTGCTGAAATCTCAGCTGTATCTTAGAACGCGGTTAAGTTAGTCACGTTCAGAGAGCCTCGTAGGTAGTGACTTGTTATTATTCATTTTTAATTGTACTTTCTTATTTTTATTTAACTGCCGGGTCGGCGTAGTTTGTGAGCGTCAAGTGAACGCATCTGTAACTTCTAAAGTGGAATAAAAAGGGAGTTAAACCCTTCTTAAGAGTTTGTGTACTTTCCAGTTCATAGCAGTCACTACTATTGTTGCGGGCAAGTTGGGGCCACGCAACACCACAAAATAAATCAGACTGAGCTAGCTAAATCTCATCTCAGTTTCAATGGCGTATCAGAATGTTATGTGCGTCTCTGCCCAAGCAAATGCATGATATACTGATATGCCAAGTGTAGCCAAAGGGTTAAATATGCTCCAAGTGAAAAAAAAAAAATTCAAATAAATGTACCTAAAGGGTTAATTTTTTTATATGAAATAACTTGTTTAGATATTGAATGACCTTGCCAATTTATCATTTATCACATGCTGTAGTGGTTAGGAGAGCATACTGCGTTGTCAGAGGGCCCGTGTTTGAATCCTGGAGAAGGCACAGATGTTAATAAATGCATAGTGTCCGGGAGGCATGGTGGCACTCTAAATATATGGCGATCTGAAAGTGCTCTCGAGAGGTTGGTGATAGGTGAAGAGGGACCTGTCTCCTCCTCTCAGTGTGCTTTCCATGAAAATTGGGGACGCAACTGAGCAAATTCTTACTGTCATATGTATGTTGCTTAAGGCTCTTGCCAATGACAGGTGCAGTCTTGCTCTCCTTGCCACAGTGAATGTTGAGGGCTGGTTCTGGTGTTACTCTCAGACAAGTGAGAGAAGTCACACATTTTTAATTTCAGTAATAGCTTTTGCTTTAATTCCATCATTCCCTCCCTCCATATCTACGAACAAAAATTTTAACATTTGTTATATGGTTTTACTATATCTGGTAATTATATGTAAGTCAAGTATTTGGCAAGAAATCATTCTCATTTGATGTAATCTGTATTTTTATTGTTTACTATACATAACTGTCAATATATAGTTAATTCTGTCAAGAAGTTTTATTTCATTTGTTATTTGTAGCATACATAACTACAGAGATTTGAAATTTTATTTAAGTGGTAGTCTAAGTAGATACCTTGCTGCACATTCTCAGCTCTGAAACTGTCAATTCTTTTTGCACTAGTTTAATTATTAAAATTTCTTGTAAATAAGCATTTTATTTATGCAGTATAAATGATTTATACTTTTTTACAAATTAGATGCTTGTAAATTTTTGAAAGGTTATTAAGATAAAATCACACAAAATTTAGAAACAAAATTATAGGAAATTATTTATAGATCATAGTAAATTTGATGTAGCAGACCACAGGGCTTATGTATATTGTTATATGTATAAAAGATAAAAAATTTGTAAATCAAAATTATGATTAAAACTAACAATAACCTCTTAATTCCTCCTCTCTATTCTAAAAATAGTAATGTGTTTGTCTGAACTGTGTCACTTCTAGATCACTCCATATGATATGATTTCCATAACATTGATGCCATAGCTAATTCGGAACTTGAACCGAAATTTTTTCTTAATAATTTCGTAATGGTCATTTTTACTTCAACCTCTGCTCTCCCTAAGATGGTGTATTGCTGTTCTCTTCCTATTGGATGTACATAAAAATTGTAAATGTTAATGAATAGACATGATTAGAGTGTTTAGTGAATTGTGCCTACAAATGTCAATTGAAATAAAGATGAATATTTAATTTACCTCGGATGTCAACTAAAATAAAGATGAATATGGAATCAGTCTCGGCTGCATTTTCCTATTCATTACATCACCATTTCAGCATTGTATGCAGTGAAAATTCTTGCTGTTCATTACATATTCAACATTCTACGTTCTATGCTATCAGTATTTCTACATCATCATTACATCTATCAGGGTTCGTAGCGGTCCTTACAAGTGCTTATAGGTCCTTATATTTGAAAATAAAATATAAAGGCCCTTATAGGTGCTTACTTTTTCTTTAAAACCTTTATTTTTTTGTTTTTAGTGCTTATTTTTTGCTTTTAGTGCTTTTTTTTAATCCTTTTTTTTTAATGAACGCACATTTTTTTCCCGTACCAAAGCCGAAACTAAATAAACAACTTTTCTTCCTTATATGCAACGTCAGATGGTGAATCATACTCCCGGAAATTGCTTTCCACCCTTTCTCTGCATTACCGTAACCTATGGTGCGCGCGAGAGTACAGACAGGTGCACGTCGTTCTATTGGTTGCGAAAATTGTAGAAAATTCCGGTACATTCGGCATTCTTTTCCTCCCACCCAAATACTACACACTATTTCTATCAAGTTTGAATTTCTATCAAGATCTTAATAATTTGCATTCTCGTTCCGCGTAGTCAGTTCATATTCATGTTTATTATGATCGTTATGCTTATATTATGAGTATATGCATGAATATTTATAATAATATAGTTGCAGTAACTGCTGAAGTATAGATAAACTTCCAAAAATGGGCGTGTTTTTACACAGATTAGCTTTCTAGGGAATGAATAATATTTGGAATGGCTTAAATAAAAGGAAAGTAGTAATCGAATAGGCAAAATAATATATATCCTCTTTTTTTTTTTTGCCAATACATTATATACAGTACGGAAGTTGGGAGGTTCTCTCCTTTCTCCGCAAAATCTCTGATATTGAAGCAGCGGATTTTTTTTTTTTTTTTTTTTTTTTTTTTTTTGGTCACTGTCTAATCTGGATTCAATAGAATTAAAAAGTTTTTGCGGTCTACCCAACCTAAGCAAAGATTGATAAGATCTTAGATAGTTCCGGAAATAAAGTTAACGCAGTCAGTGTTGAAAATTAGAATCGGAAACACTCCAGATTAGTAAGTCTCTTTCTTTTCCTTTATTTGGTTCTTTATTCTCCGAATACCGGCAGCTGTTGATTTCCGATTGCGTAATATCACATATGGACATGAATACGTATTGTGCCGCATGTATTGCGCAATAACGTTTGCGGTATTTTGCAGAGATAATTAATTTTGATGTTCAGTTTGAGATTTGTTTATGAACACTTAAAAGAGTTTTACCTGTGCTTTCTAAGCAGTATATTTCTAAGTTTTGTCTGGCCTATTTTTATATGATGCACATATCGAAAGGTCAAAATCATTTACTTAGCCTGAGAAATCTAAAGAACGGCTGCAATCTCCCCCACTCCTCTTTTTCCGAGTTACTATCCGGAATATTCGGCAATTTCGAGTATGCAGGTTAGTTAAGCTTTTACTGTTTTTAAGGAGACTGCATGAAGCAATTTCCCATCTTCTGATTTCAGAAGTGTGCCTCTTTTTTTACTTAAATTACTTTGCTTGGAATGTATGTTAAGGGAAAACTGTTTATGCAATGAAAATTTAGAAAATGTTCAGAATTTTGATTTTAAGTTTTAATTAAATTATTTAAATATTAATATGAGTGGAAAAATAAATATATGTATTATTAGGTGCCATACAAAATACAATTAATATGGCTTATTATTATTTATTTTCTATATTTTGAACTGAAATTTCATCATTAAATCTTGTATAGTTTAGTTTCTGCATAGTTTTCCCCCCCTCTCATTGTAACTAATTCTGTAAATTGAACTGTCATTTAATTAAAATTAAAAAAAAAAAAAAAGTTTAATTGTTTTCCATGGTTGAGGTAATGCTCATTTTCTTAATAAATATGGCATTGCTCATATTTTAAATTACAAGTGTAATTTTTCTTTTAAGGTTTTGCAGTTGTGTATAATGTAATTAGACAGGTGCTTATATTTTTCCTTAAAATGTGCTTGAAAAGTGCTTATAGGTGCTTATTTTTTTAACTAAAATGTGGCTACGAACCCTGTCTATTTCTTCATTACACACGCATATATATATTCTGTTTTAGTAGTTTGGATCAATAACTCTTGATGTAAAAATCTTTTAAATTTAAAATAGGAAACAAAATTTATGAATTAAATGTTTTGTTGTATGTATATAATTAAAATTATTTTTATACTTTATATTTCATTAAGCAAGTTCAGTTTGGCTCATAAAAGGATACTGCTTTTTACTGCAAATGATAATCCACATGAGGGAAATCCACAGCTGCAAATTCAAGCACAGACAAAGGCCAGAGATTTACATGAGAGTGACATAGATATTGATTTAATGCATATTCATAAACCAAATTCCAGTTTTGACTGTTCAAAATTTTACAAGGTATAGTAATTTTGATTCTTAAAAAATATTTTTGTGCATTGTTCATTTATGAAAAATTACTATTATTAGTGATTAATGAATGCCATTTTTTCTTTTTCATAAAAGGAAGAGTTGAGTTCTAAAGCTGTTTAAATTAAATATTTTCCTGTCAAGCTTAAACCTTTAAAATGTAGATCTGTATAAGGTGTTTTGAAAAGATCTCAAGATTAAATATCTTTTGGAAAATTAATGACTGAAACATTTTAAGAAATAAATCCTACCCAAAGAAATTAATCAAATATTATAGACTTTTAGCAGTTTTGGTGATATCTTAATAAAAATATATGAAGCTTCAATTTTTATGTATAACCCTGGTTAAAAAAAAGAAAAGAGAGGGGAAAAGGAAAACATTATTTCATATTTGGATGAATCACAGAAGAGAGAGAAAATTCTCTCAATTTATCAGAATAATGTGAAAGATCATCAGTTCAAATCTTGGAGATCTTGTACAAATGCATTGCTAAAATTTACAATGTGTATGAAGTTGAATGCTGCTTTTTAAAATATGCATTTTATGTTAGAAAAACATAAGAGCATTAATTCTGCGTGTAAAATTGTTAAAATTCAAAATTTTGTATCAAAGTGTTCCTATATGATGCCACGTTTGTACTTTTCCACATAGTTTCATCAAATAAAATTGACTTTAATCAATATTTTGAGTTTTTAGGGCCAATTTTGCATGATACAAAAGCCAGTTCCCTGCTGGAAATGTTTAGTAAGATAAGGAATATTTTACAAATTAGAACTTTACTTGAAAAAAACTTTTATAAAGTCTTAAATTTTATATGGGTTTTTTCCAAATATTCAATGTAATACGGCTCAACATTTCCATAGTCATACTTTATTTGACTCGTTACGTAAACTGAAAAACCATGAACCAACTGTTGAAAGGACCAACTGTTGAAAGGTTATGGTAATTATTTATGCTTGAGTCATGTAATCTTTTTTAAAAGATAATGATTTTTGATATAAACATTCTAGCAACTTCATGAAATGTATTGAAATATAAATTTTTTCGAAAAGATTTTATCCACAGAATTTTATAGAATTTGTGTTTAAGAAAGCACTGACGGGATTTATTGTTGGCTTATAGCTAACTCATAAACATACTTAAGAATTGCATAAATTAAGATTAAAATATTTCTAGGTTAATGAATATTTTATGTAATTATTAAATTAATTAAAATTAAATTAAAATGATTCTAAAGTAATAAAACTGCATTGAGTATTGAAAATTGTTTGGTAACATTTAAAAACTTATGAATTCAAAAATGTTAAAAACTAGAAAATAAACAAGTAAATAAAAAGAATTACATTTAAGGAGAAAAATTCAAATTTGAATTATTTCTAGCTTATTTATCAACTGATCTGTCAAGGTAAGTCAAAATGAGATAAAAAAATCCCAGATATTGAAATTAAATATTGTGATTAGTTTTTGTCATACAGGAATGATTAGATGTTATTATATTTCTTGTTTATTTTATTATTTATTATATATATAACAAGATTTTCGTAGATATAACTGTAGGGACCAAGAGGGCTTATGAAAAGTTAGATTTCATAAATTCTTCACAGAATTGATTTTTTTATGTTTAAAAATCCCCAAGCTTGAATATTTGCATCATTTTAAACATTTTGTAGTAGAAGTGTATGCTTATGACCAACAGTTGTAAAAAGCCTCATAAGGACTTTTAGGGGCATGATGTATAATAAACGTGTGTTTGCTGAATAATGCATTGATTGCTATCCAGTTTTCGCTAGTTTTTCATCTATGCCATTTCATAGATGATCATATTTCAACATGATTGATTGATTTGTATAGATGTAGAATTTTTTTACTAGCTGTGCTAATATAAATTTGTGTTTTCTAATTTTTACTTACAAATTACAAAAAAATTACTTCTTTGAAAGATCCTAAGTAAAGATATACTTTTCTTATTAACTAGATATGCTTTTTGTATTTGTCAGGATATAGTGATGATACCTGACGATGAAGTTTATCAGATGCCTAATGCAGCTGAGAGATTTGATGATCTTTTAACAAGGTAAATGTTTGTGTAATGCTTCAATTTATAAAGTGTTGTTTATCTAGTTATTTTCCTTTCTTTCTCGGCGAGCGGTAAAGTCGCTGAACACTGGTAGTTCAGTCCGAGGTTCGAATCCCGCGAACGGGCTGGCTGATTGGGTGTTTTCGTGGTTTTCCCCATGTGTAACGTGTATACGAGCAGTTTCCCTTAGAAAGTCCTCCACGAAGGCATCCCTCGTCTTAGGCAGATAGCCCTAGTGTGCTTTGCCATAATTAAATACACAAACCTTTCTTCCCATTTTCAGTATAGTTTTGATGCTTTGAGAATGCAATTCTTTATGGTTAAATTATCACCCTTATTCAATATAGCTTCACATGTAAGACAATTCTTCCCTTAGAGGGTTTTAGGTAAATTGCATATAAAGTGGTCTTGCATATTTGAGCCTAACTTTCAAGTAGCCTAAGAAAAAGTATAATGGTCTTAATCATACTAGGAAGTAAAACAAAGTAAATAAATTTTGTTTTAATGCGGAAGTTAAGGGACAGGAGATAAAGTATTTTAAGATTTATCTAAGTATGTTTTTTAATTATTAGGCTGCACATGTAAGATGGGTATTTTTTTTAACCAGAAAGGCATTTTAAGAAATAAGACATTGTTTTATGTTTAGCCCCTTATGGTATTTCAAGAGTAGAGTTTAATACATTTTGAAACTTTCGAATTTCAATGGTAACTTTCCAACTTAATTATTTTTACAATACATTTTAATTAGAGGATCTTAAATTGAGAAAAAATTTTTCTCTGTTATTGAATCTTTATTGGAAAATGATTTTTCAAAATGTCTTTGAGAATTACTAATGGATATTTAATATTATGTAAAATTTTTGTCTTCCATTGTAATTATCTTTTGGAAATTTTTTAATCAAATTTTCTCCACCCCTGTTCTGAAGAATATTTCTGAGATTTATGCAAGAAGACAAAGAAAATCTTTGAAGATTGTTAGAAAACTGGCAAGCAGTTCTCACTGTAGCAGTCATGCATTCATTATACAGTGAATTTAAGTCAGTTCTTTTGAAAATAGCCAAAAGTTTCAAGATGTTGAAAAGTAACCTTTTATGCCTTTAGAAGCATATCTACTTTGAAGTAATGTAGATGGCTGAAATTGTTTCTATTTCATTCTTGCATATTTTCATTACATATTCTTAGAAATTTTTTGATATGTATTATATGTATTTTATGTGTTCATGAAATATGGAACTTGAATATATGGAATTCATTTTCAAGTTTAAAAGCTCCTTTACTTTTGACACATGTAATTGATCTCTTTCTGGAGACTATTATTCATAATTGAAAAAATCCTTTCTAGTAAAGCTTATTAATTACATAGGCATTCATTCATTTAAAAATCTGTACACAACCCCAAATATAGTCATGAATCTTGACTGTCTGGGCCAACTTTGGATGCTTGTTAACCCTAGTTAAAAATGTGAATTTTGCAACTGAAATCTTAAGTAAATGACACATGTGCCTGCAAAAGAATGTCCTAAATAAGGTATGTGTAAGTGCTTGAAAAAGAATAGAAGCTGCTGTTTAGAAAGTAATTGTTCTCAAATAGGAATTTTACCTAGAAATTTTATTTATCTACTGTTCTAAATTTCTGAAATTTATTGAAATTTAAGACATTATAATAAATAGTAATAACAGAGATAAACTATTTGGGAAAAAATAATTTTGATTCAGTCAATAAATTTTTTCTTTATTGTTCATTATTTCATCAGTACTGGAAAAGATTCTTTAATAGATAGTTTTTGAAATTCTTTTTTAAGTTTTTGAGTTATCAAAATAATCTTAAAAAATGTGATATTATGTTAAATAGGCTACCTTTAGGTTTTTAAAATAAAATGCAGTATAGTTTTCTGAATTTTTAACTTTTTCAATTATAAGCTTATATAAAAAAATGAAGTTTAAAAAATATTATAGAATTTTATCGAAACTTTTTATAAAATGTTTCGATAAAATTTTATGAATTTATTTTGAAATTCATATCATTCTTGAATTTTGGTATTTTTATTAAATGGGATATGAATCGTGTTCATAAAAATAGGTTTATTACCATTTCACTTTTAAAGAAATATTGAAAATATGTTTTATCTAAAGCATTTACCTTTCGTTGCAGAGTTCGATGCAAAGACCACAGAAAGAGGCCTTTGGGAAAGTTGCAGTTTACCATAGGTGAAGGCATCAAAATAGCATTTAAAATGTACAAACTTGTTGTTCCTACTTCTAAACCAGCTACAGTTAAATTAGCAAAAGAAACTAATCAAGAACTCATAACTGTTAGCAGTACATATTTAAGTGTATGTGTTTTCATTGTGGTTAATTATATTTCTGTAACATTTAATGTAAATTCTTTTTCTATATATACAGTATTAATTTTACGAAATCCACCATTTATTTAGTTATTTTAGTTGGTATTTTATAATTTTAAAATTATTTTAATTAATTTTTAATATATCAGTATCACTCTTGCATGATAAGAAAGTTGCAGAAATCCACGCATTGCATGGCAAAACGGTTTCATTTTAGCACGTTAATGAATATGTGTAAACCCTCTTATAACACTTATAGTATGTATGCACATACTTTGATGACACAGTTTTTACTCTAAACATTTACAAAATTAAGTTATGTACTATGACATTGTGTGCAGTATACAATAACAACACAAATATAAAATAAATTCTGGGAATACCCTCATTCCCTCACATTCAGATTCTTTTGAAATTGAGTTGTGCCCATTATTTACTTAATGGGTATGTGTTATTAATTAGTTTTGTTGTTTTTAGGAGTAATTATTTCAAAATTATGTTTCAGTTCCAAGCTGTATATGAAAATAACTTTGAAAAGGAAATTTATTACTTTTGAGATGAAAATACAAAATTTGAATTCTTTATTAAAAAGAGAAAAAACATCAGACATTGCAAAGCATCTAAATTTAAATAAGGGAGAACCATTAAAAAATAGTTCAGTGGGAAGTAAATGTGTGAATAGTGATATATAGGTATCCATCCTTATTATAACATGGTTTCGCTCTTGCATGATAGGAAAGTTGTAGAAATCCACCCATTGTCATTTTAGCACGTTAATGAATATAGGTAAACACTCTTATAACACTTTATGTATGCACATACTTTGATGACTTTTACTCTGAACATTTACAAAATTAAGTTATGTACTATGTGTTTAGTTTTTTAAAAATTTAGAACACATTCCTCTGTTTTGTACTGGTTCTTAGTTTCATATAACGTGGTTTCACACAACATAGTATTTTTAGGGACCTATCTATTGTGATATAGAAAAGATACATGTGTTTATTTTAAAATAGTGTCCATTTCAATTTTGAGAAAATTTCATCTCCTCATGAGCTATTTTTTTATCAGAAATAACTGAAAGAAAAATTTTTTAATACTATGTTTTACATATGAGTTATTTTTAATTTGTTAATCTTTTGCATAACGTTTTGATTTTAGTTCATCTACTTTTATCTTTAGGATACAGGAGAACTTCTTTTACCTTCTGATATTAAAAAGTACCAAGAATATGCTGGAAAGAAAATTTATGTGGCTGATTATGAAGCTAAACAGATAAGAAATTTTGGTGAACCTGGTTAGTATTAAATATCTTAAAATTGTTATCAGATTCATTGATCAAAATTACAAGCATGGATAGAACACTAAATCACTTTTTAATTTTGAAATTCCAGCTGATTAACATAGCAACACGTTACCTGGATAAAGGAAATAGAGTCATTAAAAAAAAAAAAAAAAGGTGAATGCTGTGTCATTCCATGTGCTTAAAAAAGGAGATTTTAATTTATATTAACAAACTAATGGTCTTTAGTGTAATTATTTAATAAAATTAAAATGCTATTTTTCAGAAAGATGGTTTATTACTATTATTTTTTAAAAAACATAGTTTGATTTTAAGTTCACATTTTGATTAACAATGTATATCCCAACGGACATTTTTTGCATATTTTATTACTTATGGCTATTGATTTACCTGGAAAATCCATTATTGAAATCTGGAAAAGGAATTTATGCAAAATGTCAACTTCAGCATTTCATGTTATTTTTAAAATGATTTCTGTGTAGTATTTACTGTTTGGTTACTTTCTCCAAAGAGGTTATTTACTTTTACTCAAGTTACCTCAAGTTATTAGTCCAAAAGGGCAATTTGTCCATAAGGGATATTAATTTAGTTTTGGCATTTTGCATTGATTCGCTATAAATGGCATATCACTTTTAAAATTCCCACCAAATATAAGAGCTCTGTATTATATTTAAAGAAATTAAATAATGAAGAATCTGTATAAATGTATATATCTTACTTGCGTTGTGATAAAAACGGTACCCAGAGCCATCAAATTTTGAATAATGTATGACCCCATTCGATATGGGCATCTGGAAGCTGGAGTTTGTTTTATTATCTATTTCATATTTTGTAAAGCATGTATAAGTTTTCGATTATGCAGCTCGACAATTTCAAAGCAAGTAATGGCAACACTGTATGGAGGGGGAATGGTTACTCTCCATTTGAAGTAGTCAAATGTTAAATTCAGGTTTATTCAGTGTACCTTCAAGTGCAGTATCACTCGTTGGCTCCATAACTAAGGATCTACAAAGATGCTTTTATTAATTTTAGGTTATTAATTTTGGAGAACTTCGTGTTTTAGAATGAAAATTCTCTCATTATCTTTGCATTCTTCTCTCATTTTCTTCATTTGTCATTTTTCTCATTCTCATTTTTTTCAGGTCAGATTACAAAGAAAGTTACCTTCACAAAGATTTTCATTAAATTCAATTTAATCTGGAGGGATGCTTTCTGAGGACTCAAAACTTTCAATTCCATAGCTGCTAATCCTGGTAAAACTGGGAGACTGTGGGTTTTTCATCACATCTCTCTATCTATTAGAAAATCATGAAATCTTCTAATTTTTAATTTGTTATCTTTACGAGAGAAAATATATTCCAGTAATAATTAAGCTTAAATTGTCCAGATTACATTCTCCCACCCTTAGTATATTTTTTCTTATTAAATTTTATTTTATTTGAACTGTATTAATTTACTCTAAACAGTTATCCAACTTTTTATGAAGATTCAGCTAGTATTTATCAGCTAATATTTCTATTTAATTATATTTTACAACAATATTTGATACATTACCAAATTTTTCTACACAATAATAGTTACATTAATTATTAATTTTATTTTCATTGTATTTAAGAGTACTTTGATAAATAAAAGGTCTGCTTCTCTTTTCAGGTTTTTCTGAATGTAAAATTGTAAGGAAAGTACAAAATAAAATTAGCCAAAGAACATAAAATTTAGAATATTAATTAAATATTAATATATTCTATATCAGAATCATATGGCGGATAATTCCATAGCCTGAATCGGATTTGGAAATCTTGAAATAAAGTTGCCATGCAGTGTGAAGATCTCACAGAAACTCCCAACTTTCAAAAGAGAATCTCTCCAGGTTTTCATATCATAGTTGACATCTATGCAGTTTCTTTAGGTCTCTATCTTTAGGTCTGTGTGTCTGTTTCACTCAAAAAATGGAGCAGTTCAACCTTAGTTTGATTCCCGACGAATAGGTTGCATGGGTATTTTTATGGTTTTCCCCATGTGTAACAAGGATATGATTCTTCCCTTAGACATATAGCTCTCGCATGTTTTGCCATAGCGAAATAAACCAAAAAAAAAAAAAAAAAAAAAAAAAAAAAAAAAAAAAAAATGTAGCTATCTTCTATAGCTGTGTTGGCCCAATTCAGGCTTAAGAAGAGTGAATTGTTACCGGATGTTATAACATCCACGGAAATGAAACTGACAGGTTGATGATAAAATGGCAATTCATTCAATATCTATGCAGCATACAACTATATATAGAAGAAATTTAATATAAATTTATATTTATTATAATAGTTAATACAATTTTGTCAGCATTTCATTTAAAATATGAGTATAATTCAACTGAACTTATTTAACGTATGTGTTACCACTAAAGTGGACAAATAATCACTTTAGCTAATTAGTTTTCAGTTTTTTTTTTTTTTTTTTGCTATATTTCAATTTAATGATCTTTAAAAAATATCTAAAACATCAAAATTTTTATTGTTTGACATTTTTTTTTTTATTAGCATATGGTAGTACAGTCAAAAGTCTTTAATCCGGACTCGTCGGGACTTCGGCGATTCCGGATTGTCGATTTTTCCGGATTATAGATCATCAGTTTAAATCTGGTAAGATGGCATGAAATTATAAAATTAAAAATATGAAACCGTAATTTATAAAATAATGAGCAATTATGATCTAAAGGGTATCAAAATTTACCAAAAAAAAAAAAAGCTTAATATTTGTTTGTTTACTTTATTAAACATTTCTTTCAACGCGCGCATGCGTAAAGCATATATTACGCATAGCTGAAATTAGAAAATTGCAACCAGAAAACTATTTGATTTGTATTCGTGATATTTATAATGAGGAGGAATTTGATTTAAATCATATCAAAGACGGAGTACATTGATATGAAATACTACACTTAGTAAGGAATTATAAGCCGAATAAAATAAAAACATCTGCCCTGAAGATAAGGATAGTGCTGACAGATCAACTTCCAGTTCATTGCGCGTCGCGACGTCCCCCCCCCCAACGCGCAGAGCAGCGTTAAATTAATAAACAGATTTCAGAATGGTTAGATAAACAAAGGATATGCCTTTATCCATTTTTTGCAGCAATTCCACTTTTTGTTTGATGGACATCAAAACATACTTTCGTTTTGTAGATCCTTTGGGAGCTCCAGCATTGGAAATTCTATTTGACATAATCGAAAGTTCAAGCTTACTTTTATAAAATTGCTCTTACAGTCTGCAAAAAATAATAAGCCGGATCCAATTCAAAGATTAAGGAACAACGCAATCATCAACATTAACTGAAATAGATAATTAGATAATTTTAGCTTATACCGTCCGTTATACGTTAACCACTTCCCTCGTTCGGGTACTTGAAAAGGGGCCTTCCCTGTTTTGCCCGAGCGCCGCTCGTGCGACTGATTTTTTTCCTCTATTGCAATGATTTGCCCGAATTTTATGCTTGATTAGTTTGCAATGCTTCTAACAGATGGCTCTAGTAGTCCAGTAAAGGTCTGATTGCAAATCCGGTTTCTAGTTTATCTTTTATTGTTTTTCTTTTACGCGGAAAAGTTGCGAATTTTGTTTTGACTCAATCTGCTTACTTCGCTGCAAATTCTATTTCTTTTGAAGCTGAAAAGTAGAAGAATGAGTGATAATGAACATCTCATAACAGATGATAACTCTTACAGTGGATCAGACAGTGAATCTGAAATTTCTATAAATGATTCCGGAAGTAATGAAAAAGTTCGTTTTTTTCGGACTTTTCAAGTGATGAGGAAACGGAAAGTTCGGATGACCTAACTCAAGTTCGAAACTTTTGTGAACTAGATATAACAAATCCTCCTTCACCTCCACCTCGATTTCCATTCACAGCAAATCCAGCTGTTTATGTAAATATTGATCTAAGTAATGGAACTCTACAATTTCTTGATATTTTCTTTGATGATAATCTTCTTGAAATTATAGTTTCTGAAACCAATAAATATGCAGATCGGACCATTCGGAGTAGTAATCTACGAAGGAAAAACAGAGCAAAAAAAAATGGGAACCAACAACAAAGCACGAAATTCAAGTGTTGCTTGCTTTGAATATTTTACAAGGAATTGTGAAAAAGGCCTGATCTTGAGCAATACTGGAGTAAGAGACATTCAACATCAACTCCATTTTTTTCCACAATAATGTGTTACCGACGCTTTTATCTTATTCACCGGTATTTACATTTTTCTGATGATACCGAATTTGATGCTAAAGCACATGAGTGTCCCAAACTGCAGAAACTGTGGCCGATCATCAAGCATTTGAATACTCGTTACCGAGAAACTATCACACCTGAAAGAGATGTTACAATCGACGAGAGTTTGATGCTGTACAAGGGAAGATTACGCTGGAAACAGTATATACCTCTAAAGAGATCACGTTTCGGCATAAAAAGTTTTATTTTATGTGAATCGAAGTCAGGTTATGTGTATCAACTTATTATATACACTGGGAAAGATACACTTTTTGATGATAATTACCAGCATTTGTGCAAGTTCTCTCAAGTAGTGATGCCACTTATGCAGCCAGTATTGAATAAAGATACTGCCTAACGACAGACAATTATTACACATCACCAGAACTTGCAGATACCCTTATCAACCATCAAACAGATATATATGGAACCCTCAGACTTGCCAAAAAGGACGTCCCAAAAGAATTACAGAAGAAAAAATTAGAATTAGGAGAAATCTGTGTGTACCAAAGAGGGAAAGTCTGTCTAATGAAATGGATGGATAAGAAAGCTGTATCTCTATTATCCACAATACACAACCCTATAATGATTGAAGTCCCATCTTATAAGGATGAAGTTAGAAAGAAACCAAAGGTAGTGATGGAATATAATAATACCATGGGAGGTGTTGATAGAATGGATCAGCATCTCACCAATTATCCAGTCACAAAGAAGAAGAAGGAAGGAAAATTACAAAAAATATTCTTCCCACCTTTTAGATGTATTGCTGTGGAATGCATTTGTTTTATACCAGAAGCATGGAGGAAAATATTTGCATTTGAATTTCAGACTTGATATAATTGATCACCTGATTGAAAGACACGGCGTTGTAAATGAAAAAAAAGGACGACCAGGAATTTTGCTCAATCCCCTTACGATTGACTGAAAGACACTTTTTAGAAGTGATTGCTCCCAGCGACAAAAAACTGAGACCAACGAGGCAGTGCTTTGTGTGCTGCTCTAAAAGAAACGATTTCAGAAAAAGAGTGAGAAAAGAAACTAGATATTTTTGTCCCGACTGTGATGTTGGACTATGCTTGTCACCGTGTTTTAAAATTTTTCATACAAAAGCTGAATTTTAAAAGATATTAGATGTAAGTATAATAATAAATTCTCTTTTCTAATATCCATTTCTGTAAAGTGTTTTCCCAGATTGCTTATTTCACCGGAAAAAAGCCAATTTTAAGTAAAAATGTAATTTTTCGTTGTAAATAAAAATTATCATAACTTCATAAATTCAACACTTATAATAGTTTTGACTCTTGATTTGAGTTTCTATAATCGATTTTAAAATAAAATTATTTTTGAAAAATATGCATATTTTTTGGCACAATCTATCAGAAAAAAAGAGACTGTTAAGTGGTTAAACGCGCACGCGAAAACGTATTCTGCGCTTGCGCACACGCATATACGCAGTTGTAAAGGTCTTACGCGCATGCGCAGAAAGTTTTTAGCTTTGAGGTCCGGATTATGGGTGTCCGAATTAACGACTTTTGACTGACTCTGAGTGGCATGGCTTTTTGCTTGTATTATATAGAATTCACTAACTAAATTTGTATAATTATTTATTTTAGTCTATGCTTTCTTGAACTTCCATTCATTAAAATGATATTTACATCATTAAGGAAAGTAAAAAAGCAAATACTTTATATTGTAATCTAATGTATACCAAGTGACACAAAATCTGACGACCATCTAAAATCAGTCATGCCACTCAGGGAGATAGTTTCATGATATCTCATTCACCACTATCATTATTCCTTTCATAGAGCATAAAATTAGTTAATTTGTCTAAATATTGATCTTGTCTAATTTACTGTATATTCCTGATTGTGACTGATAATATTCTAAATAGTTGCTTATAGGCAATTTGTGTATTTATATGATTGCGATCTTAACAATTTTCTCTTTTAAAAATTTCAAATGTAGCCCCATATTTTTGTAGCGTTAAATAATGAGTAAAATTCATTTATTTTCCCTTTAAAGTAAGTCATAAAATGTAAAGAGCTGAAAAACTTTGCATTCGTTCTTATATTGCGTAGTACTTTAGAATTAGGTGATAAATAATTATTCTCCTTTGATGGAGCAATAGCATATATAGCAAGATTTGCTAGTGTGCTGTAAGTTCCTTTAATTCAGATTGAAAATAAATTATTAAAACTGTGGAATACTGGTTATAAAATATGCAGCTAAAAGGCCTAGCATTGTAGGATTTCCAGCCAGTGGACTGTAAAAAATTGTTCATGAAGGTAGATCTCATCTTTTAGGCTAAGTATTTTACAATGCTGAAGTGAGTAATCAACCTTATATTTAGCATAAGTTTTCTTAAATATTCTATGATTCATGTTAATGTTTAACTGTTGCTGAATAGCATAATCTTTGAATTTACTTATGCATCATTTTTATATCCTTTATGCTAATGGTTTTTAAAAAAATTTATATTAAATACATCAGTGTGAATTACTAATTGTGTGTGAATCAGTGTGAATTATTAAAATAGTTTATTAAAATTATTAAAATAGAATTATTAAAATAGTTAAATAATTCATTGAACATTAGTTAAAACGGATATTTTTTCATTTATTAGGTTTATTACTTATGGGATTTAAGCCAAAGTTATACCTCAAGCCACATTACCATTTAAAGCCATCTCTATTTTTATACCCTGATGAAAAATCCATTCAAGGAAGTATACGGTTATGTCTTGCACTTCTTATCCAATGCCTGAAAAGAGAATATGTGCCTATTTGCCGTATGATTGCCAGACAGAATGATCCACCAAGATTTGTAGCTCTTTTGCCTCAGGTATTTAAAAATTCGTTTATGTAAGTTTTTCTGTTTTCATTAAAGCAGTTAAAGCTGAATAGTATGCAACATTGTTCTTCATATGCTTTTGTGATTTTGCACTTATTGACAGTCAAAAACTAATTCATAATTGAAGAACTACCAAGCCTTAAAACTAATTTAAAATTATGAAAAGTAAATTGTCGATAGCTCATATATTAATACTTATTTTTTTCCTTTTAAAAAATAAATGGAAAGAAATAGGGGTGTAAGAGTGTTAAAGATATACAAAAGAAGTATGGTTATAATGAAAGTAAAATAATTTAAAGCAAATGGTTTGAAAAAAAAATGGTGTCATTGAACTCTAAATTTCTTACAGTTTTCTTCATAAAATTCAATTTCAGTATTTTTCAGTTTTTTATATATTTTATTTTTCACTGATTTTTTTAATAGGTATATTAAATTAAAATTATTAACTGTTGGGGAAAAGGAATAGACATTAGACTTTAGAAACAAAAATGCAAAACATGCATCCTGCTAATCCTGAGCACTGTATCATAATTATTTTGTGCATCTGGAAACATATTTTTTTCATTTTGCAAGCTCTGAAAGAGAGAATGTACCTTTTCTCTTTCAGGTATGAAATTGTAATTTTTTTTTATTTTCATAATAATATCAATCTTAATATGCTTGAGAATAGACTGGGAGACAGATTTCAAAAGTCCTGCTCAAAGGCATCCTTCATCTTAAGGAAGGAACCATCATGTGCTTTTCTTTATTAACCTAAACAAGCAAACATATGCTGTTTCACCATCCCATTCCTTTTAAATTGTTGTTGATTAAGACATTTGTTTTCAGACTGGAAAAACCCTGCAGTTCTTATTGTGGCATTTCTTATTGCTGAGCATCATGGTGTCATCTACTTCGTTTAATGCAGGGTATCTAATTTTGGGCTTTCGGTAGCAGTTCAAAACTCACTGCATCCTCCACAGCATCAGCATAAGGAGATGAGCCTTTTTTGGGTATCAAGAGGCTTTACTGCAAATAACCCGAGTTTCAATTTTTACTATGTCTCTGCAGGGCTCAACAATCAATGGCCCTGGGGCTGAGCTCTTCTCTAGATTTAAGAAATGTCCTAAAGAACTTATTTCTTAAGATTTTGTGCTTAAATTTGCCATTACTGATTTAACAAATTTATGTGGTACCCATGTCATTTAACACATCCTTGAGCTAGATAACATGGAACAAGATGGTAGTTGCTCTCTTCATCTTTTCAGTGAATGCAAGCAATGTGTGCTCTAAAAAAGGTTTAGCAGAACTCATAATTTGACAGTAACGACCAGAACATGAAGCAGAGAAAGTGGTGTCTGGCAACCCCTAAATAGGAGCGCTGCATCACTTTGAGCAAAGGGGACTTCAATTTCCAATCAATCGATTATCTCTTTTTATTGTCGGTATTAGTTATATTAAGATTTATTTGAAGTTTTACTTGATAAGCTATTGATTAAAAATTTTCATCTTTTTCTTGTGTCTAGGTATTTAAAATGAATGTCGTATGTAAATATGTGAATGGCACTTATTTATTAATTCTCCTTTTAATTTAACTTTTCCCTTCCTCTGTATTTTTTCTTGTTTTACTGTATAGGTGATTCTTATTATTTGATTTATTATCATTGTTATTTTTTTTTTTTTTTTTTTGCTTATTGTTTTGCTTAAGTTTTTTCTGTATTTATCATCAAACTTAGTTTTTCTTGTCTCTCACTATTTTACAGCTGCTAATATTGTCTTAGTCTTTTCAGTACTTTAGCTGGGATTCTGTGCAAGCATTCAATTTTCCTGCTTTTGTGTTGCTTTTAATGGATTTCTTATGGAGGAATATTCAGAAATTTCCTATTTTTTTTAAGTATAAATACTTATCCTTCCATTATTCTGTTAGTAATAGACTGCATATTGCATCTGAAATTAAGTACCTGTCATACTTTGATCAATGCCTTGGATATTTATTTACTAAATAAAACAAAAATACGTAAATTTATATTTTATGTTACATATTATTTAGATGCTTTTATATCTTGTGAATTTTCCTTGTTTCAGTCCTTAATCTATAGTTTTTGTCTGATAGTTTTGGTTCACACAATTCATAACATTTTTAAAAATAACTTTTAAAATTATTATAAAAGTGTTTGGAACTTTGAATGGGAAATCAATAAGTTAATAGCAAGGTTCACCTAATTAACTTTTAATCACTAATAGTTAATAAAGTGGTCTTTAATCCATAGTGTAGTCTTTAATTATGGTTGTTAATGATGATTTATAAACTATTTTGAACAGACCAATCCTGTGCTAAAGATAGTTGTAGTCAAAGAGACAGATTATGTGCAAAAAACTAGCTGCTAGTAAAAATGTTTACTAAGCAGATATTCTGTGCTTTTACTCTGAAAATGGTAATGGGACTATAGAAGAAATAATGTATGCTGCTGAAGCTTTTCCAAAAATTCTCACTTATTCAGGGATACTAAAGAAGCTGTATTGAAATTTCTCTTTATTTTAAGAAAATTTCTTTTTAGAAGATTTTTTTTTTTTTTTTTTTTTTAAAGAGGGTACTCTTTTAAACTGCATGTTAAGAAAGAAAAATGTTTAGAATTATCAGTTATTCACTTCTTCTGAGAGACATGCACTTCAGTGGATTTTATTTTTAAAGGTCTTCAAGATAAATTATATGTTTGGGGGAAACCACAAAGATTTCTAACTCATTCATCCTATGTTTTCTGTAATTTTACTCATTTGCCTACTAGTGCATTATCTCTTTTCTGTAAGGAGATGGTTTACAGAATGATAGTACTGAAAAGAGAAGGAAATTAAAAATCTCAACACAAAAATGTGCATCATTATATACTGCTTTACATAAATCACATGCTCAAATTATTTGCAACTCTGAAAAATATTAAGGAAGACTTAAAAAAAAGTGTGTGTGTGTGGGGGGGGTTGAATAGAATGTTATAATTTTGATGTTAGTTCATTGAAATTTATCTTATTTTAATATTGTATGATGATTTTGCAGTAAAATAACTGGGTACACAAATATATTTTAGTAGATTAAAAAGTTTGCAGCACTTATAAAAGAAACAGAGAAAATTTTCATAGTTTATTTTTCAGTAGGATCTTCTTGTATATAGATAATACTTTTCACATCATTTAATGAACAGTTCTGTGCCCCTGAAAAAGTAATTTGATTATCTGCTCTCAAAATATTTCACACTTGCTCTCCAGAAGTTCCAGCACATCTAAAGTAGTTATTCACTTTATATTTACAGGAAGAGCATGTAGATGAACGTGGTTTGCAGACTATCCCACCTGGATTCCATGTAATTTATCTTCCATATACAGAAGACATTCGCAGCATTAAAATTGAAAAGAAGCACCATCCATCAGAAGCCTTAGTTGAAAAATCAAAAGAAATAATAAAAAAACTCCAATTTGCATATCATCCAGAATCCTTTGAAAATCCTGGTATGTGTTCTTTGATATGGAATCTTCTTAGTTTTCACTGAACAGTGCAAATATAATAATAAAAAATAAGAATAAATTAAATGTCTTTAAAATATGTTTAGACTTTATTGTAACTTCAAGTATAAAATAGCATTTGAAATATTTTAAAATATTTGCCAATAAAATGAGTTAGATGATAGAGGCATTAAGATTAATTTGTTTGTCTGAAAATGCAAAAATGATATTAAATGCACTGAAGGAGAGATGAAATGTAAGGGTCATTTCTTACCAGTAAAAATAATTGCTTGTATATTTTTAAATTAGATTTTGCATAAAAAGTTAAATAATGAAGTAAAAAATATATGTAGTTTTTGTTTATGAAACATTTGTGCTGTTTAACAGGGTCATTCAGTGCAAGAGTGCACACTATTGAAATTTGACAAAATTCAGTTTTGTTTTTTGGGGTTTTACTTAAAAGTTAATAAGTCCAAAACTCCTAACAGACATAAAGCAAATTATTACTAGGTCAAAAGAAACTAAGAAGTCTTGTGAAGGTTTTAGAATATCAATGCACATTTTTGTGCTAACAAAATCAACCACAGCCGAAAATGATGCAACTAAGTAGAAACAGGCAATTTCAAATTAAAACGTGAGTAGTTAAAGTATGCAGATATAAATCTTACCCTAAGCTGGCGCAGTAACTCTACCAGTGTATCAAATTCAAGTGCAGGAGTGATATCACAAAGCCGAATAATTACAGCTGGCTGGAATCGGAGCTGGCAGAAATTAAGCGTAGTTTGCATATGCAGGCTAGAAACACTGTCTGTCTTAAATGTCAAAAATTAAATTTAAATAACTATCTAACTCATTTACATACTGGTGATGAAACAGAAGGAGAATTTATAGTAAATGCTAAAATTATAAATAACTTGTTACTAAATTTCATTAAAATGAAATACAGTGCATTTAAGGATAACAGCATAGCTTTTTTCTGCAACATAAGCTCTTTTGCCTAACTTAGTAACAGTTGTTTATATAAAATTAATTTGCACTTCTTTTAATGCAATAATTTGTTGTGAAGCAGATTGGCATTTTAAATGTTACTAATTTTGAATCATGGGCATTATTTTAGATTTATGTAAGATTAATGTCATATAAATTGTTGATTTTATCAAAAAAAAAAAAAAAAAAAAAAAAAAAAAAGGCATAATAATATTTGAATTAGAGAGGCTGTGAATTGCTCTGACTTTTTGATTCTAGATTACTAGAAATGCATGCATAAAACAAATTAGATTTAAGTAATTGGGACTGCATATGCATAAGGATAAATTCTTTCTTTTGTTATTTAATCAGTTATTAATTGAACTGTTTGCAAGTAATCTCAGAGCTATTAATTTAACTTCATTTAATGCCTTAAACTGTAACTTAAAGTTTTTTATAATGTATATAAAATTTTATAGATTACTGAAATTTAATTAATTTTTAAAAATTATTTTACATTTGTGTAAGTGTTTATTAAATGAAATATTTAAGCAAATAAATCCATCTTCATTTGAATTATTTTAGTTTTGCAGAAGCACTGGAGGAACATAGAAGCATTAGCTTTGAATAGAGATGCACCAGAAGAAATTATTGATTATACCTGTAAGTATTAATAATGTTACTGATAATTCTCACGGAAAGAGTTATTATTATTATTTTTATGTCAAACGAAATGTAGGAAATCTCTTACTTCACACGAAACCAGTTTTTATTTGCTTTGGATAAAATCTAGAAGGATAACTGCAGCATTGCTGAAGTTGTTAAAGTTTGAAAGATCTTGGAAACAGTTTAAAGAAACTTGATGAAGTACACATAAAATGAAGTAAAACATGATATATATAAGCACCATCATTAGCACATTGTTTTAGCATATATTATATCATCAAAATATAGAATTGAAGCTTTATTCAGCTATTGAAAAGGAATTGGCATTGGAATTATAAGGAAACAAAAGTTCTTGCCATTTTTGGCATCATGTTTGATAGTGTGAAACGCAGTGATTCACACTTCAGAAAAGTTATGATGTGATAGAGGTTAGTTTAATGTTAACACTAACCTTCATTGCTCTGTCCTTTAGTCCCATATTCTTAATGCTAATATAGACACACTGTGCGTGTACATTAATGACAGCTTATCCAGTGTCAAAAAGAAATGGAGGTATCAAAGCAGCTCATTCATGGTTGTTTTCTGTATAAATTTAAAATCGGCCTGTCAGCAACACGTCAGTTCATTGAATGTGTCAAGCATGGAATATAAATGAACACACCAGTATGCATTAGTTTAAAAAGTTCAGATTGGGAGATACAAACTTTGTGATAAACTGTGCAGTAGGCTGAAATGTGTGGTGAATTTGACAAATACTTCTAGGTTTTTGTGGTAACAGTCAGACTTTAACTGCACCACTTCAGGGAGGTGTACCAGTTAAGCAGACGGGTACCCTGTACATGGTTAATAGCCAACTAGAGCTAATGAGTGACATGCTGTGTGTTGCTAAAACTCCAAAAACATATCTAGTATCAAAATTAAATCGAAGGACATTGTTACCCATCGAGGCTGCTGATCTTTGATAACTACCGAATAATGGTCATTTTGTATCATTCCACATATAACTAGTATGGGGTTTTTTCAAATGAAATTGAAACAGATCTTTGTTGGTCAAGCTGATGTACAGATTGACTGTTACTGGCATTGAACCCATAGATCACCACTGTAGTGCAGTTGAATTAGATAAATATTTAAAAGGAAATTAAATCAAAGGAGATTAGTTTCCATCAAAGCATTTAGTTGCTGGTGACCTGCAGTTTGATAGCAACTGTTGGTTAACCAACAGGTGACTGGTATGTATTGGCATAATTAAGTAGATTTTTAAATTAAAACTAAATCAAAAACAAGTCCATGCTAGTCAAGGCTGTTGGTTGCTGGTCACTAGCGGTCTGTCCATAAGTTACTGTAGCAGACATGCAATAAATTTTGGTAAGTTTTAAATATAAAATTAAATTGGAAGACATTGGTACCTGTCAAAGTATTTAGCTTACGGTGATCTACTCATGCTCACTATTAAGCAACAGTTAGATCACGGATATGGTATGATGTATTTGGTACATTTTAAAATTAAATTAAGCACACTGATGCCTGTGAAGTCTGTTGGTTGTTGGTCATACAGCTGTTCGTGAAATTTCACAGACATAAAAGCTTATTGACAACATCATCCTATTTGTTTTACAAGAAAATCATCTTATTTGTTTTACAAGAAAAGAAACACTTCTGAAACCTGGAGAACACTTTAAGCTTTGAAGGTGTTACTTAGAAAAGATAGGTTAGTAATGACTGTGTCAGCTGTGCTTAAGTCTCTTCACATCGCTTGACTATCCAGGAAGTACAGTGTTCCCTCGCCACTTCACGCTTCATGTTTTGCGGTTTTAGTGCTTTGCAGGTTTTTCCAAAGTATCCATCAAAAAATAAAAATGAAAAAAATACACCCATGTCGGCAGCCACATTGCAGAAAGGAGCGTTATTTCAAGTTGATGTGCGAGAGAGAAGGATCCCTGCATGTCAAAGAAAAAGATGAATTGACTCGTAGCTCTCATAAAGGCCATAAATTCTGGCTGGAAGAAATTATGGCTGAATGTGGTGCATGACAATCCAGGCTTCACCCCTGAAGAAGTTCATCACTCAGCGATGGAGAAGGCGGTGAGGTTGGCTCATATCATAAGGAATGAAGGGTTTGTCGACATGACAAAAGAAGACATCAACACCCTTATCGATTGCCACTCGGACCCACTGACCAATGAAGACCTCCTTGAGATGACAAAGTCTGCAAGTGAGGAAGAAAATGAAGATGAAGAAGAAACTGAAAAACATGGCCTTACCCTGAAGAATCTGCAACATGGCAAGAGCGATGCAACAATTTGCACAAGACATTGACGACAATATAGTTCGAGCTGTCGAGTTCAGCAGTCGTGTTGACGGGGTTATGTCCTTGTACAGAGGAATTTTGAATCCAGAATACAGAGAAATTTGTCATCTCAAGAAAAAAAAAAAAACAAACAACTACTACCCATCGCCATGTTTCTCTGCAAGGTAAAAGCCCCCGGCTCTACCGTCAGCTCCTCGAACAGAAGAGTCTCCGAGTGAGCCTAAAGCTTCTAGAGTCAAGTGAGAGCCTTTCCTTCACCACCAACACAAGAATTTCCCTCTCTCAGGAAGCAATGTTGATTGTTTATTATTGCATAAGGTTTTGTAATTAACCTTATTAATTAGCACTGACACGTTTAAGTAAATACGTATACTACTGTAATTTTTGTCTTAAATGCGTGAAGTATCAATACTCTTTATATATTTAAAACATTCTTGTGCTTGCATACACGAAAATTCCTAGGGGCAAATCCTACTTCCTGGTTTTTCAGCTTTCGAGGAGGATTCTGGTCCCCCATTAACCGCGAAAAACGAGGGATCATTGTATTCCTCATCTGCCCACTTGCCTCCAAGCTGTTGCAGTGCAGCTTAATATTCAAAAGGTGATTTCAGTATTTTCCATATATCTGCCTCCCAATGATTGCTCCCATCTATTAGCTGGAAGTTTAATAGCGCAGTTGCCTAGATCTTTTATTTTTTCTTGTTGATTTCTGTGGCCACAGTTTGGGGAAGCAGAGATAAAAACTCACATGGTAGGCAAATCGAACAAATGATAAGTGATCATCTTTCTTTCTTCCTTAATACTGGAGAGGAGATTTACTTCCTTAAGTCTACAAGGACCTTTCAGAGCACTGGTATCACTATGGTTTCAGCATCTTTGCTTCCATTCTCCAAATTTAAGACCAAAAATGGTCTAGAAAATAGCGATCATTTTCCTATTTTTATTATGTTATAAGATATTTTCTCCCTTCTTTACATATACCTTTCTGGTACAACTGGAAGCATGTCTGACATGTAATCGGGAATTCTAGGTTTGAATCCCATCGAAGGCATTGCAGGTTTTTCATGTCTCCTGCATTGAAAAACCTAATGTGGTGCCAAACTGAAAAGGTGATGATTTTATCTTAAAAAGGTGATGGACGATAATTTGTCACCACCAGGCTTTAGCGATTGGGTCCACTCATCCCAGTTAGTTCCCTTTAAAAGAGGAAGTATGTAAGTATTGTCGCTTTTCTTTCCATGTGCCTTCAGGGTGTAACTGAAAGCACATCTGACATGTAATTAAGAGGCCCAGAGTTCAAATTCCAGTGAGGGCACTGCACATTTTTCATATCTCCTGCATTGGAAAACCTGTTGACTCTACAACATTTAGAAATAAAGAGATAATGCCCATTTATAAGCCTCTCTGTTTCATATTGGACTGGAATCTTTTCTCCATCTGTTCAGACATCACTGAAGACATGGTGAACAATGTATCTATAGACTAATGGTCTTCAACTTCTGTTCTACAGAAACCCAGGATTCCATGAGTCAAAATAAAAATTTGATTAGCAAATTAAAATGCAAACACACATTTTTGTTACCCATCCTGTGCTACAGCTGCAAATTGAAGTAAAATAAACTCAAAGCATCTAAAGTTCAAAGTAAATTGTAGTCAAAGCATGGCGATTCATCAACAATATTAATAATTGCTTACTTGTAAAGGGGTTATACATAAAATCAATACATTTCCAAATTAAAATTATCATAGTAGTACAAATTGGAAAACTAAAAATGCAAAAAAGGGAAATATATACAAGATTATAAAAATTAATCTCCCTTTATTGAAACTTTAATTCAGAGCACATGAGAGGAAAATGAATTGAAGCTTCATAAAAGGTGATAATATGCTTCAAAAATAATAGTATAATAATATGCTTTGATAAATAATGATAATATGATTCGATAAATAGTGATAATATGCTTCGAAAACGTGTTTCGTTCTCCCGGCAAATTTGAGATCAGAAACCGAAAAAAGATGTTATGTTTTATTCTTTTTTCCAAGTATTTTGAAGATTATTCAGATTTTTTAGTATAGAAAATGCTTTATGATAAGTACTTCTATACACAATTTTATATCAAATGCTGAAATAAGTGTCAGTTCAGAAAATTATTTCAAAAAACTTAAAAATTGATTCTAATATTAATTATTTCTTTGTATTTAGTGCCAACTAAAGATGTCATTGAGAAAAGAGCTGGGAAGTTAATAGCAGAATTTAAATTATTGCTTTGTCCCAACGTACCTGATCCTAGTGTAAGTGATAAATATAATCTCAATTTTGCTATATTAACCTGTTTTTTACTGCAAGAAACTATAATATTTGATAATTTCCTTTCACTCTCATTTCATGTACATAGGAAAATTTTAATAGTAAAGTTCAGAGGAAAAATGTTATTGTGTTAGGAAAAGAGCCAAAACAAAGGCACCAAGAAAGGCCAAGGGGGGGGGAAAGAGCACCAAGTGGTTTTGACAGAAAGGAACCATGAAATTTTCTGATGAAGGGGATATGTGAAAAAATGCAAAGTGTTAAATTAAGATGCATAGCTAAAGGCTTCAGTGCAATTACAGTAATCCATTCATTAACAGACAACAAAATTTGTAGTAGGGTTTCAAATCTTGAAAATATATCTACCGGTTATGATAAAGAGGCTGTTGAGAATGAACAGCCTCTTTATCATAACCCTCATAAAGTGATAAAGTGATAAAGAGGCTGTTGAGAATGAAAAGATTTTAGTTAACTAGGAATTCTTGACTTAGCAAGTATAGGACTTTAGCAATGGAGCTTTGTAAAGGAACAAGTTATGCATGTCAATAAAATTAAAGTATTCACATATTAAATTAAATTGCTTGAGCAACTTATGTTGAAAGAAATGTTCATAAATGTTAACATTGAGCACTTTTGGGAAGGGGGGTTATTTTTGTTAAAAGATCACAGATGCTTCATTATTTCACAAACAACCTTTTTTTTTTTAATTCTTATAATTTCTACTAGTAATTTTAATTAAAAATGATTAGAGATACCTCTAATTAATTTATTATTAGAGATACTCTAGAGAGATTACTTAATTAGAGACTTAGAGAGGTTAGTTGGAGAAATTAAAAATTAATTAAAGACAACTCTAATTAATTTGTTATTAGAGACACCTTAGAGAGATTAATTAATTAGAGATACCTCTAATTATTTTTTAATTTTATAATTTCTTCTAGTTTTAAATAGATGATCAGAAATACAGAATTTTCCAAAGTCATCGAGGCCAGAATAGCTTCAGATCTCAGACTTTTTATTGTAATACAAAAGAATATGTTGATGAAAAGTATAATATAGCTTCTGATTAGTAGTGTATTGTATCATTGAATTAAATGTGACTGTTATTAAAAAATGTCGAGTCTATAGTTGGATTAATTTTTCTTTGTGGCAAAAATTTATGTAATTAATAAATTTAAATTGGCAGCTCCAGCATATTTAAAAAAATTGTTGTTTCCACCTTAAGGAATGAATTATGTGAATTGTAAAGACAAGCCTTTTTGTTAGGGAAATACAGTTTATGTATTGCATTGCAGTTCGGACATTTTTTATAGTGTGCACAATGTGTTGGATTGATGCAATTAAAGATTAATTTCTAAATACAATGGAAACACAACTTCGAGGTCATGAGCATTGGTCCATTGAAATTATGTATGCTAGATCACAATATCATTGTAAGTTCACAGGACAGGCTATGGGAAAATGTCGTGGTTAGGTGTGATGTTGTCAGTAAAACCACTATCACATCTTCTATACCTATGTGGGACAGCATGTCAAAAGGAACATTTTTATGAAATCACATTTTAAACTTTTGATTATTTTGGCAGATGGTGGTCATTAAGTTGATCACTTTGATCTCGACACTGGCGACTCTGAAAACTAAAGAGAACAAACATCTAAAGAGGTTTATTTTTTATTTATTTAATTATGTCAAAGAACTTGAGAGACCTTAGGGGAGAGCCTTTGAATAACTCATACAGAGAGATTAGTGATAGTTATTAAGGTTGCTCATGAACTGTGTACATATTATGTAAATCAGAGTTAAGAGTTATGTAATTAATTTTAATCATGTAGCTCTTTAGTGTCAGTGTTCCATATTAATTTATGCAGTCTTTACTTTAAGACTTCTTTAATTCTTTACCTTCAGAGTATGTCCATTTAACAGATAAATACAACTCTGGTTATAACAATCAAGTTCATCATCAGTAAGGGCCAAATTCTGCATTCTGCCAATTTAAAATGTATGATGGGTCTGTATAAGTCTGCCTGTCAGACATTACATATATGTGTATCTGGTACTTTCTGATATCTGCACACCCATGAAAAGTCACCTGCTCACTGGTGAATCTGTGAATTGAAGAGCTTGCAGCAAGAAAAGCCAGCTTCACTTTGATAGATGTTGTGTTCATGGTTTTTTGTTTTAAAAGAAGCCGTTCTTTGCATTGGAGCAGCCATAAAAAATCATTTTTACTAGCACTTTTGATGAGGACAAATGTTTAGAAAAAAAGTTAATAACGGAATTTTTTAAAAAAATTTCCGAAAATTTAAAAATGTGGAGCTGGGCCCTTCTTGCTGCAAGCTTTCAGTTGGTAAAAACATTTCCTTGTCTAAATTTATGGGTTATAAATACTCTTCTGTGCATAAATAATAATTAAAAAAGCATGAAAAGGAACTTTTATGACTAAGATAAAAAATCTCTATGGCTGATATTTAAATCCTCACAGTCATTCATAAATTATGTTCATATCGTGTAAATCATATGATGATATAATTATGTATTATCTCAGAAATAAAAAGTGTATATACTTTAGTTAATATGATTATCAATTATTTTTCAACTGTGTGTTCCATAACCAGGATAATGTGCAGAGAAGCAATGAACACAAATGTGCAAAAAACTGATAAATACAGTATCTGTCAATTACATTATCATTAGACTTCAAATAAAGTCTCTGGTAATTTTTATTTTTATGTTCATACATACATATAAAAATACATATCTGATAAGACATATAGTGAAATATACAGTCAAAAATCTTTAATCCGGACTCGTCGGGACTTCGGCGATTCCGGAGTATAGATCATCAGTTTAAATCTGGTAAGATGGCATGCAGAAATTATAAAATTAAAAATATGAAATGGTAATTTATGAAAGCTGTATATATATATATTAACAGAAGCTATATATATATATATATTAACAGAAAGTTTTATGAAGCTATATATATATATATATATATTAACAGAAAGTGTTATAAGTATTGTTGATATGTCTATTATGATCTAAAAGGTATCAAAATTTACAAAAAAAAAAAAAAAAAAAAAAAAAAAAAAAAAAAAAAGCTTTATTTATTTACTTTCTTAAACATTTCTTTCAATGCACATGCGTAAAGCATACATTACGCATAGTCAAAATTAGAAAATTGCAACCAGAAAACTATTTGATGTGTATTAGTGATATTTATAACGACGAGGAATTTGATTTAAATCATATCAAAGACGGAGTACATCGATATGAAATACTACATTTAGTAAGGAATTATAAGCTGAATAAAATAAAAACATCTGCCCTGAAGATAAGGATAGTGCTGACAGATCAACTTCCAGTTCATTGCGCGCCGCGACGTCTTTCCCCCCGGCAGAGCAGCGTGAAGTTGATAAACAGATTTCGGAATGGTTAGAGAAACAAAGGATACGCCTTTATCCATTTTTTTTGCAGCAATTCCACTTTTTGTTTGATGGACATCGAAACATGCTTTCACTTTGCAGATTCTTTAGCAGCTCCAGAATCGGAAATTCTTTTTGACATAATCGAAAGTTCAAGCTTACTTTTATAAAATTGCTCTAACAGTCTGCAAAAAATAATAAGTCGGATCCAATTAGAAGATTAAGGAATAACGCAATCTGCAACATTAACTAAAGTAGATAATTAGATAATTTTAGCTTAGCTTATACTGTCCGTTATACATTAAATGCACATACATAAACGTATTATGCGCATGCATAAATGTATTATGCACGTACGTAGACGCAGTATGAGTTTACGCATGCGCAGAAAGTTTGTAGCTTTGAGGTCCGGATTATGGACATCCGGATTAAAGGCTTTTGACTGTATATAGCAGTGTTGCCATGTAACCCCCCTTGCTCAGCACGTACTGCTGATGTGTATTAATCATGTAACCCCCCTTGCTCAGCACGTACTGCTGATTTCATCTGTTTAGCATCTGAAAGTGATAAAAATTTGTTGACATTTCTGTTGCACCAAAAGACACTGAAATTAGAAAAATATATGTATATATATATATATATATATAAATATATATATACGTATTGCAATTTCTGTTTTGTTAAAAATTCGTAGTGCGATTTTATGAAGCTATATATATATATTAACAGAAAGTGTTATAAGTATTGTTGATATGTCTATCAAATATATCAAGATATGTTGTTTATAATTAATCTGAATTTCATGTGATAAAAGTTTATTCCATTTGTTGCTTTGTATAAATATCTAATAGAAAAAGTACTAAAAGCTTCCAAAATAAATATTGAAAACTATTTTACAAGATAACTAGCTGAGTTATTATTACTTTTTTTCAGTATTATTCTGTATTAATCTTGTTAAATGTACCATTATATTAACATCTTTAATTTCTAAAGCAGAATGTAATTTATAATTTGGAATTGAAACAGCTTTAACTTTCTTATATGACAAATTAAAAGGAAAAAAATCTTTTATTATACAAGAAAATAATTATTACACTTAATTTTCTTTGTTAGACATCTACATATTCACCATCTGTGAAGAGACCGAGGCTAGATGAAGATGCTGTTCCATTAAGTTTAGAGCATGAAGCTACTAATGGATTGGTAAAATATGCAGCCTTCTTTTTAATGCTTATGCTTTGAATATTCAGAAAACCGGATATGCTACATCTGAATATATGATCTTCATATATAGAAGATCTGTTAACAGTAAATTTGATTTATAAAGGTCTGGTAATCATAAAGTTGATGTAATTATGTTTTTACACAAATTGAAAATATTCATGCCATTTTTTATGCGTGTCATTTTGATTTAACATGAGCAGGCCAGGCCAGTTTCTAAGAACCACCCCACCCCGCCCCAAATTCTAAAAAAAAAATTTGGTTGTATTTTTTGGTGACATAGTAGTACATGTGTACATGAATAGATTGCATAATAACTAGTGGAAGAGAATGAAGCACCAGTTTTTAAACTCTATCTGTTTAAAATTTGGAATTGAAACCCATATTCTGTAGCTTTGGAATGCATTTAAAGTTCAAAGTGAAAGCATTTACACTGAAGTGTGTGGACTTCCTATAATGCATGCTTTTCATAATATAGAAATTCTGCATGTACAGATGAAACAAAAATTGAAACTGCATGTGCAGATGAATCAGTTGCTCAAGTATTCCAGCAAGGACTTGCTAAAGTTATTGAAGATGGAGAATACATGAACATGGAATGAAACATGGAATGCAGATGAACATGGAACCTTATGAAACATGGAATGCAGATGTCAATGCCAGGCAGAACATATGTAGCTAATGTCACATAAAACTGCTAATTGTTTTAAGGTAGCTGAAGTTCTAAGATTCCCAGCATCATTACAATGATACATGCAATTGGTAGAGAAGGTTTCAATGATCTATTGTTTAAAGGTATTAGTTGACAAAGCTAGGAATTTCATTTGTTCTAAATTTTGGGAATGGCAGCAAGGATGTTTGTTGATGTACAAAATTGTGTCATGCAGTGAAAAAGGCAATGTGTGTTCTCTGGCTATGGGAAATGAAATCTCTGAAAACTGTTCAGATGCAATTCTGATAAATTTAATGAACCCTTACCAATGAAACAATCAAATAAAAGATGTGAACATATTTTGCATAAAGGAGGGTGGAAAGGCCAAGCCTTGATGATGAACTGTTTCCACCATTCAAGATGTGTTTGTGTACAGTCCCAGTAAATCAATTTGCAATGTCAACTGTTCAGAAAGTTGTTCATGAAGAGTTGAAACTGGCTGTGTTTAAATGACAGATTTGTCAACAAATGAAACCTAATAATCGAGCCATTTGTAAGGAATTTTCTGTATGGACATTCTTGACCGTATCAGTAATTATGATAGATTTCTTTATAAAATTTTGTTTAGCAATGAAGTAACATTTCTTGTTTCAGGAGAGGTTAATCGACATCACTTCAAGATTGGGGGGGGGGAATAAAACCTACATTGCATAAGGGAAATTAAGCAAGGTAACCCTAAAGTTAATGTTTGGTATGAACTAACTTATAACAGATTGATCCTTTTTTTGTTCTAGTAGTCATCAATTAATTCAAGCATTTATTTTGATATGCTGAGGTTGTTTCCTGCTGCAATTAGAGGTGCAGCCAAACCTTTTCTCCAATAGGATAGGATTCTTGTCATTGAGCTATACATGTACATAATTTCCTTGATGGAACATTCTGAATCGTTGGATTAGTAGAGATGGCTTGATTTTATGGCCATCCCATTTTTAGGACATTACATCACTCAAATTCTTTTTCTGGGGATACCTGAAGAACTGAGTTTATGCTGCAGAGATTTGCAGCATCAAAGAATTAAAAAATTTAATGACCACAGAAACAGCTATAATGAGACTGCATAAATGTTCTTAATACAATTTGGAGGTAAATTGAAAACAGACTTGATATTCTCATGTTACAGGATATTAATATAAAATCCCTTGAAGTGCTAAATATTCAATTAGTTTCCCCTCTCCCTAATCTCTTATTCTGTATTATTTAAAGCAGTTCTTTATCTGGTCTGTAAATAATGGACACTCTGTAACATAATAAACTGAAATTAATATTTTCATATTTTTCTTAAATTATTGTTGCTGACTTTTTAGATCCAAAACCAACTTTCTTTTCTTCAACTAATACTATGTCTTTTTTACATGTATCCTTCAAAAATCTATCTATTCTGTAAAAACAGAATTAGATATTATATAATTTCAGTTTCAGATCTCAAAATGTGCATTGGGTTGTCAGTTAAGCATATCTGCTCCCTCCCAAATCTCAGCTACTGTAATCATCTACACTTGACTAAGTTCATCAATAATGAATTTTTCTTCATATTTCAAGGCTTGCCAACATTTTATTAGAATATCAAAATTTCAGTGTTAAAAAATACTATGTTTTGTAGAATACATTGAGCCACATTTTCAACTCCATATTATTACTGAAGGAAGCACTTCAATAGCAACCAGGAAAGATGATAATTTAGGTATTAAATCAGAAAACCATAGTGAATATGATAAAACTTTCCCACCGAGTTCTTGAATAATAATTTTAATCAGATTAGTGACAAGGAACTGATCATTGTAGTATCATCACATCATGTCACTAGTTCAGGCTGTTTTTGCTGGATTGCCTTATTGATCCAGTGCGTTTGCTAAATGTAAATTCTGAACTGAGTATGAAGTTTTAAGCATCGTGTTAATGGGTTATGTCAACCTCATTCCACCAAACACATTTATTCTCTTATAGATACAGCTTTGTGATTGGTCAATATCTTGCTTGCTTAAATCTCAAATATTCTTTCCTCTGCTTCATATTAATGTAAAGACACCAGTTTTTATTTCCAATAACAGTGCTAAGAAAACAAATATCCTATCTACAAGTGGCTTAGTTTTGGATGAGTAAATTGATGATAATAGTGGAGCACTGGGAGAATCTGTTTGTTCATGGCATGTATGGCTGCTATCTGCCAGGCTTTAGGATTTTAACAATCAAATGAAGGTAAGAGGAATCAGAGTCATGATAGCATCCATTTTCCTTGATCAGTTAGTTATCTTTTGAATTGATACAAATTCTCATAATGTTCATTAACTGTGATAAGCCAGGTGGATTGGAGAGTATGTGAGGTCGAAGTGTCCCTTATTGAAATGTAAATATCATTTCTGCATAATTCTCTGTGTAATAGCAACTTTTTCATAAGGGTGTAATAGCGACTTTTTAATGTTCTTTGAGTAACACTACAACTTTTGGGCATGAATGAAATTAAAGAGAAATGGTTGTTGTAAATGCTAATTTGTGTCTACTCGATGCTCCAGGTAAAAGCAAAAATGAAATTGTTTCTTATGTTCTTTTTTGTTGTTCTTTCTGTAATGATTTTTTTTTATATTGTTCATTTATTTAGGTGTGAGAACTTTGAACTGTTTTAATGTGTGCTGAAATTGTTTTATTTATTATTATTTTTTTCTTCAAATGAGTGATTTTAGCATAGATCAATCAATTATACCTAGTGTTAATATATAATGTTATTTTTAAAATATATCAAGTGTAAGTCTAGTTAGCTTTCAAGTGATTTTAGCAATCTCACGATGATTTCCAGTTCAAAAAGGAAATCATCCAAATGCATAATGTGCTTAAATACAGTCTTTATGAGCAGATCCAAAAAACTCTGCCACTCAGAGGATTAATTATTGCTTTCTTTTATTTCAACTTATGAAAGATTTCATGGAATGGTGTGTTTCTAGAAAGCAGAGAAAATGTATATTGGATGTTTGGTGACCTTTGCTGCCATGGTTAGCTCTTTTGTTTAATACCTGAATGCAAATTGTTTTCAGAATATATCAGGACCATTGTTCATAACATACAAATGGCCCGCTAGTAGCCAAATGGTAAAACTATTGAACATTGGTACTTCGGTCTGGGGTTTGAATCCTGGCAAATGAGCTGGCTGCATGGGCATTTTCGTGGTTTTTCCCATGTGTAATGTGTATACGAGCCAGTTTCCTTTAGACAGTCCTCCACGAAGCCATCCCTTCCCTTAGGCAGATATCTCCCAAACCATAATTTACAGTTGCCTCTTTTAATGTGCTTTCCTCCTTTTACAAACTCCAAATACTTATAACAATTTCATCTTTATATTTAAATAGAATATTTTTTTACTATCTTTAAAATTATTCAGTAGTAGTAAGATTATTGAATATAGTACATTTAGAATTTTATGTTAAAAAGAAATATGCTTAGCACTTCCTTCCCCAAAACATGAAATGAATCATTCAGCATAAAATATCTTTTTTGTTATTTGTTTTATTAAATATTTGTTTACCAACCTCAATAAGGCATAAATAGTTTTCACACACAAATGACCTAAATAATGTTTTCATAAGTTTGATATTAGCTGCAACCTTCACAGAAATATGCTTGATAATAATCAAATTTTGATTTTCACAGCAATTTTCAAAATAGCTTTTGTAGAAAACTGTTTTACTCAATTCTGTGATAAAGCAGTTTGTTAGCACAAGAGCCACAGGTATTATTTTGATGTATGTATCCTTTGGTAGTCTGTGGCAGTTTTTATTTTTCCCAACCTCTGATTTCATGGCCTTCATTCATTTTTATATGAAGACATTTGTAGAGCTATAATTATTGCAGTGCATATATTAATGGAACTGCTGATACTGCTCAAACTGTAGCTATAATATTAACAACCTGGCTGCCATTTGTGATGATAAAAAAATCTATTAAGGAATATTGGCTTGTTGTGTTGTACTATTATTATTATTAAAATTTAAAATATATGTTAATGATACCAAGTTGTTAGCAGTGTTTTATCTTTCTAAAGCCACCACTTTCATTCATGTCAAGAAAATTTATTATATTTTTATTATTGTTATTTAAGCTAAGTATTTTATGTAGTGAATATAAATTACTCATTTATCACTGATATGTTTAATTCAGAATTAACTTAATTATATATTCTTTAATGTTTGAATTATTTTTGACAATATGATTTTCTCTTCCTTCAGTTGGCTCGCTATAAAGCTAATATATTAAAAGAATTTTGTAAAAGAAATGGTATTCGCTGTCCTTCTGGTGCCAAGAAAGCGGAGATTATGGAAGCTATAAAGCAATATTATCATGAACAGTAAAATTCTCACTTTCAAACATCACATTTGAAACATAATTTTATAAATACTGAATAAATAATATTAGCAACTGTGAATATATTGTTTATGTACATATATATGATTATGTAAAAATTCATTTTAAAATCAAATTGGGATATTTTCATTCTTTAAGTAATTAAAAATTTTAGAAAAGAACATTTGTATGTATATTACATAACATTTTTCTATGAATAAAAAAGCTTTTTTGTATTCAGAATTAAAATACTATGCAATTGTAGGGTTTGTTTGCTAAATTGCATCTGTGTGCCATGAAAATGATGCAGACACATTTTAGAATTTTATTAAAAAAATGCTGTGTGTAGTGTGAAATTCAGCATTTTATTGTATGCAGTAATATGAATGTTCAAAAGTGTTTTATGTATGTATATATATGAAATAAAAGGTATGTCACACATGTCTTCTTTTTTTTCTCTTAATTCTTTAATTGTAATTTTTATAACAGAATTTTCCTTTGCATCTGTTTTAATGTTAACATATTTTTTTTCCATTTTAGTTAACAGAAAAAATTGAAAAAGGGAAATAATATTGCGTTTTTCTCTGTTGTATAATTTTATTATTAATTGAAAAAACGATTCTAAAAGAGACTGTAGATTTTTGATATTGTTTCTAATATCAATCAATGAAATATGGTAAAAAATAATTCTTATTAAATATCTTCTTAAAGTTTCTTATAACAGGGTTGCCACTCAAAGAGGAGAATGAAATTCCCCGACTTTTCCAGGTGTGTTCTGAGAAAATTCCAGTCTATCTGCATAGTGCGTGTTGGCTGCGCTGAGAAGTAAATTAATTATGATACCACTTGAAAACACAAAAATTTTCCAATTGTATATGACTTATATAATATAATCCCATAATACTAATAGAGTTTTTTTCCCCTGAGATTGAGATTAGAATGTCCCAATTTTTTGGATTTAAAAATGAATTTTTTTGCACATTTTGCAGCTAAACGAAAGAAAGAAATCTATTTAATGATAATTAAAATAAATTCGGTATTTTATTATTTAGCAGCATACATAAGCAAAAATATGTGCATGATATTTTGTGATAGTATGTCATCATACTGCTAGATTTAGTTTCAGAATTATGCCAGAGTATTGCCTGAAATTTGAAAGTATTATTAACTAATAAATAATATAATAAATAAATTTAGAGGAAAGAAGAACATTAATGATATAAATAATATTAAAATGAAGTTAATTACTTAAAAATTGAATTATAATAATCAGTGCTATTTTGGCAAATATAGTCATAAAATGAAAAATAAGGCATTTATTAAAAGGAAAAAAAAGATTAAAAGATTTTGCGGTAAAATCCTAGTCTTTGCTACGGCCTTGGTAAAATTTTGAAAACTGCCGCCAATACCAAAATGACTGGTATACTGCCCAATACCTTCTTAAACAGAAACTAAGAGACAGAGGGATTTAACTGTTGTTATTCCTCATCATAATGTCTCCAAATCCCTGTGTACCATACATGGAGGTTAGAATAAAAAAATATGTATTGTTAAGATAAAAAACTTGTCTGTAACAGGAATGGCTCCGTCCCAACATAGAGGGAAACAAACAGCTGCGTATGCACGAAATTTATCTGGTCACCCACCCCGAAGCTAAAGCGAAGTTTTCGACGAAGGTTCAAGTTTAATCAAAAATACAGAAACAAAAACGGTTATCGTTTTAAAATTTTATTTAAACTTTATTAAAGAAAAGAAAAATGTTTTTTTTTTTTTTTTTTTTTTTTTTTTTTTTTTTTTTTTTTTTTTTTTTTTTTTTTTTTTTTTT